ATGTGTCCCTTTTTTGGGGATTTAGTTAAACTTTTGCAGAGTTATGTTACAGACATTATTTACAAATGGTGTGCCAAAAAAAAAAATTAAAAAAAAAATTTAAATTCAAAAATTTTTTTTTTCAAAAAATTTAAATTCAGCTTTGGGCAATTCCACGTAAGATATGGTACATTTCCAATGCTCTTCTCCAATGTGTTGGTTGAGACATACCAAGTTCATTTCCAATGGTGCAATAATATTCTTGAATAACATTTTCTTCCATGTACTCATGACAATATTGAGACATATCTTGAAATTGAGCATCAGTCACTTGCTTTGCATAATTTTGTGCACCATTGCATTCAGGGAGAAAGTAAAGTTCATCTGGTCTTCCAGCAACTGTGTCAAACCTTGACTTACGGATGTAGTGGGAGTTCCAATTACGCTTGACGCTTGTTAGATCTTCTTGTAATAAATTGGCAAAGCAATACCACAAACATTCCTTGTCTAGATCACTTGATGTATTTAAATGCCCTGTCTCAATCATATCTTTAAAACAATTCATCCACCAGTTCGAGCGATTTTTTCGTAGAAATGCCCACCAAGATTCAATCCGCTGGTTTGACTGAGAGGAACCATACCGATGAGCATTGATACCTGCCATCTCATCATCCCCACTAGTTCTAAAATAAGCTTGCATTGCTGCCATTATGACATTTTCAGTCCCATTGTCTGTTCTCAACAATGGGGCATCCACCATACTTCTTAACAGCATCCAGGAAGTGTTGACTTGTAACAGCAGGATTGTTATTTGTTTTGCATACTTTAAGCCATAAAACTTTTCGGCTATATCCATCTATGCATCCATGCACTGGGAAGCCATATGGCTTAAGTTTGTCATAGCCATCAACATGCCAAGCATAATTGGGACCTGGGTTGTGGTAAGTTCTTCGCCTAAGGGTTTTGCCCTGCCTTTCCCTCACGCCATCAGGATCCAACTCATTAACAAAAACCCTGATCGTTTCCCTGGGCACTTGGTAACCTTCCCGTTGCAAGGTATGCCACACAGAGCGATAACCAGCTGAAGAACCTGGTCCATCAAGCTCGTGCTGTATTCGTTGTCGAATTAGACTTAAATCATACTCCTTGTTCCTTCGACGAAGACCAAGAGATCTTAGCTTGGTATTAAGTGTTCGTAAGGAGATGTTAATGCCGTGAAACTTGCCAAGGAATTGCATAATCTTCTCGTATGCAAAGCCTTCTCTGAAATAATGCGCGATTAGTTCGTCACACGTATCGTCTCCTCCAGGGATTTGTTCCTCCGCGTTTCGAAAGCCTTGTAAGTGATTTCCGCAAAATGGGCAATATTGGAATGTGACCTGAATATTTTGACCGCAAAATGGACAATACACTCCTGGTGAAATTCAGCAAAACATTACAAACCAACGCAGATATTTTCGAAAGAAATCTAATATACACTGTCCCACTCTATTAAATATTCGACATATTGCCGCCCACAGTACAGTGCAAAATTCTGGGTTGCGGTAACTTTGTTTTTGCATTGCGATCAAATTTGTTTTTGCATTGCGATCAAATTTGTTTTGCATTGCGATCAAATTTGTTTTGCATTGTTCGTGTTTTGCATCGCAAACAAAATCATTTTGCATTCAGCACATTATTTTTGTATCAAATATATTGTTTTTGAATTTAAGGGAATGTTTGTGCATTGACAAATTATTTTGTGAATTGCAGATACGGGCCACCGTAGAGACAGGTCAAGTGAGTTTGACGTTTTTTACAACGTTTTAAAAATGCAACAAAGTTAAATTTGTTTGATTATTCGGCGTCATTCTTGTGTGTCATTTATTAATTCATTGAGGCAGAAACGGTCCATTCCTTTGCTTTATTTTTGAATTGCAAAGAATTTAAAAACCGTCCGCCATATACACATTTTGCACGTGTAATACTTTGGTAATCAGCATATAAATTAGCAATGATTTAGCTACTGATCTATTTATTTAATAACCAACCTTTTATATAAAATTTAAATCAACTTCAATGAAACTCAATATAACTATCTTTTAAACATATAATTAAATAATTTATGAAGGAAAATATGATATTTATAAATTATAACTCAAAAGAGAAAGGAGAAGATAGTTATTATTCTTATGAAATAATTTTCTGCTGCGCAATAGCTAATATTTTTTAAGAAGGGCCAGTATTTTCCCATTGGTCCCAGGGACCTACTCTGGCTTCGTGACGCACGCCACTGATACGCTGGACATAAGACGGAATATCGGCTACGTTAATTGCGGTGCAAGTAACAAACGTTTTATCCTACAAAAATAACAATTTTCTTGCCACTACCTTTGCAAATAAAATGTTGTTTGTTCCCTAAAACACTTGAATTGATTTGGTCATTATTGCATTTGGTTCAGTTATTATCCAAGATTTTATGTATTTACTCTTTGTACTTAAAGTAGTCTATTCATGCTTGAGTTAGTCCACAATCAAAGAAAATAAAACGCGGTTATATAAACACATTTTCGTGCATGAAAGGTAACCAAAGTTTCAACTGGTTCTTTTGACTTTACTAAATTTACTTTTCAAATCTAATTGGACGTTCTTTCTTATAATAATCAGCCTAATCCATAAACTTATCACTGAAAAGGAAAGCTCTTGAAATGATGATCTGCCAACTGACTTGATCATTCCTTTGGTCTTAATATTCTGGTTTACGAGGAAAAAAGGCTTTAAAAATGCTTCTTCAGTGGATGCCCACAAGATGAGCAAAAAGTTGCTAGAATATGCAACAACAAAACTTGCCCATTTTACTGCTCTCAAAACACGTCAACTTTCATCACATTCACTAATAATCATGAATTCCATATATTGGCTTATGTTAGAGTTACTGCAAAGTAATGATCATTTACTATTGCATCACATCAGAGCTCCGCCCTAGTGTGAGATAATTTTTGTCGGGTTTTTTTTGTAAGATTTTAAATTCATGTGCTCCAATTTTATTGTTTTAAAAAAGTATTCGCTGAAGAAATCTTTACATTTATCAATATATAAACTGGCGATAATTTTACAATAACTATAGTTCTGACTCACCCATTGCTTTTCTTTTTCAAATATGAGCTAGCGAACGATTTCTCGCAATAATTTCGATTTTCTTTGGTTTGCTATTTTTTGACAGTCTTCAGCTGTTCTTGTATATGCAGTCGAGTACAAAGTGTGAATGAATTTTCCAAGCGTCGGTTCTATTTATTTGCTCTACATTTTACTACCTGGAATCTTCCAGTTTGTTCGAAAGGAGTGAAAGCTATTCCTTTCCTCTGAGATACGCTGTCAGGATAAGGACGAGGTGCTTTTATGTGTTAACCGCAAGACAGTTTCGACGGAAATTTTCATAATAATGTTTTTGAAAGCATTCAGTCTAAAACATAAAATCTTTTCAAAAAACGTGCGTGGCTACCTGAATTTTTTCATTACGAAAATATACTATTCACTCAAGCTTCATTCACAGTATGTTCATGTAATTTGTTACATTTTTGTTTTTTTAAATAGTGGTTGGTGGTATAGTGGTTAGTGGTGTAGTACCTGGTGTTATTACTATGGTGAAAGGCATTGTGTGCATGTATGAAAAGAAATCTGTCTATGCAAATATCTTTATTTTATTTTAAAACCCTTTCATTCTTAACTTGTAATCACGTGAAAATGCCGTGGCAAGTCAAGTAAAATTGACCATTAGCTCTAAATAGTCTTTTAAAAGACGGTTCGTTTAGTTGTGATCATACATTATTTTATGATGTAGCTACTGATCTGTTTTTCATTGGATTCGATAATTATGTTAAAATCTTGGAGTACATATGTTTGGTGTACAACATTATATCATACATTATCATACATGATATGCGCTAGGCAAGTTAATTGAGGTTATCTTTAGTAACGTTTTAGTTAGTATTGTGACGTTAACTAAACAATGAAAATGGTTGCTTATGTGCATGTAATTATTTATCATAACAGTTCGGTTTCGCATTGTGGTTTTACTATTGTGGTCAGTTTCGAATTATTTTTTGCTTAGTAACGTGAATGTGAACTAAAAACTAGAGTTTTTCATCCACAATATCGAAAATGTGATTGTTAAATGAAAGCGATTTAGCTTGATGTTTTGCAAATAAGTTTGAAGAATTCTCTATGCAAACAATCCAGGTTCAAAACATTTTACTTAAATCTTTAACTAGCTTTGGAGTAATTCCTCAGTCAATGATACCTGAAACTAAATTACTTTTTAAGGGAAATTTATGGGGGTAATGTGACGGGGCGGATTTAGGGTGATGGGCGAAGCGGCGGCGCCCCCCCTCCTTTGCTGGAAAAGTACCCAACAAGTTGAATAATATAATAAAAACTGACAGGCCAGTTACAGTTTTCAAACTAATTCAAAGTGTTCGGCCCCCTTTTTCATAATCTCTTGGAATTCATGAAACATTTTATATGGTTGATTCAAATTACGGATTTAAACTTTGCGTTATTTGCATATATTCATATTTTTGCCCTAAAATCATTACGGTGTTTTTCATCTGTGATTATTTCAAAAATAATCGGACAAAAAAGCTCTAATTTCTCTATCCTTAAGCTAATACTTGTATCCACAGCATCTTCGTGTCACGATGGAAAGTGTGCGAGAATGCAGAAGTTCCCATTTACCAAAAATATGTACTCAACATTTACTCAACATTAAGACTCCAGGCATTAGTCTCCACGAAAGGTGTTTAGTTTATTTTCTTTCAAAGCCCATTCATCCAGGTGTACACAAGCTATATTGCTCTGAATCTTCATATTTATAATTTGTCTTTTATATCACTGTAACAGAAATTTAAAGTACACTTATTCGATTAATATCGTAATTGACAAGATATTCGTGCGAACGTAGCATAAATTCTAAAAGTTTTTTTCTTTATACAAGTTTTCTAATAATCGTTTCATTGTGCTTCATTTGTTCATGTCTTATTCCAAGCAGAAATGTGAAGGAAAAACTACTGATACTTAAACCATTTCTATCATAGTCTGCTGTCTTCTTACGCAGTCTTCACACTCTTCATTCTTTCCACAACTTTTTATAGAATACATCATTCCTTTCTTACGATGACACAGAGTACAGTCCAGAATGAGTATTGAGATGAGGGCAGTTAAGAGAATGAAGGCAACTAACATCATTCTGGGTGATGTGATGTAGACAACTAATCCGTTATTTAGCACGAGGGGTCGACTTTCTGTAGAGAAATTTTATGGAAATAAGATCATGAAGCAAATCGTAAAATATGATTATTTTGCAATTTTTCTCAAAAGTTGTGCACATCTAACTACACACAAAACGCTTTTTTTTAAATTCTTTCAATCATAATTGAAAACTTTTTACCTGGATCACTGCGTCTGCTACGATAAGGTAGACTTTTATGGACTTTTTTGTTCCAGAGATTGCAAGATTTATGTTCATTAATGACTTCGAACAGGGTTGAATCATCTAGGGTTTGTGTTTTGATGTTCGTTGTGTTTTTTGTTGCTTTGCAACCAGGCAAGCATTGAGTGAATGGTATAAAGAGATAATTTAAAGGAACCTTTATATATTCACTGTGCAGATGAAAACGAGGTTGTGGATGCTTGCAATAGTCATTACATGTTCTCACGTTTGGTGGATTGTATTTTACTTTTGTTGTAAATTCTGTTTCGTTAACTGAAGAAATCAAAAGGAAAAGCGTTTCAAGTTTAGATCTCAGTTTAGATTTTAATCAAATTCAGAAGTCCTTACTTTCTTTTGAAGATAGATTCTTGTGTTGATGAAAGTTCAAGGCTGTTAAGTTTGTACTCATGTAACAAGAAGTGTGATTATATACAATATATTTGTAAAATTTTCTGTCGTTTTTTAAATCAAGAACGACAATCTCGACTTCTATCGTCGTATTTGGCTGGGGCCAACAATATGCACATTTAGGAATTTTATCTTTTTCCATGACACATCGTTGAACTTTAACATAATATGGCTCCCTGTCCTTGGGAATGTCAGTGAAGTTTTCATTATAAATTGAAACAACTTCTTCTTTGAGGACTGGAACTATAACGGGGACGTATAGAATACGTTGCCTATATCATTTCATATGTCACTTTATATTTTATTATGGTTAAAGCCTTCGTTTGTTGTCTTACCTAACTCATTGTTTCCCCCATTCACGTTTTCGCTCATTTCAAAAGCGAACAGCATCCATAATACCCCTGTATGTTTGAAGTTGTCAAAGATACCTAAGGATGACAAATATTCTTTGCATAAATATCGACCGAAACACCATCATCTAAATGAACTATGTCGTTTGACAAATTTGTCTTCGCAAATTATAGTTTAACGGTGATTTAATATTCATGACTTCTTCATCAATATCTTAAACAAACGAATTGATGTGCTGTTCGTGCTGAGCTTACATAATGTACTGCAGCGACAAATGCACATTGAAGACGATTTCGAGCCGACACATCCTCTTAATTTACATAGTAAATGTACAGAAATCAAACATGTTTTGATTCGAATTGTTTGAATGATTACAGTAAATTTGATTATTTTTTAAAAAAATTATTTGTTAGTTTTAGTCAACAAGTTACCGCTCCCCTTGCCCTCAATATGTCTGTTGTTGCAATCACCATAGATAAACAGTTAAATAGACGTTTGACTGTAGTACTGTAGTTAAAGAAAGTTTTACTTGAGACTAGGTTAACGCATCTTTATTTTTTATAAATGCTCTGCTCACCCATAATGTCTGTTCTCATGTCAGCTGATTTCTTATAGCTATATCTTTCTAATTCACTGCTTAGCTGTTTTTTGTATGTGATGAATTCTGATAATGCACATGCTTTGATTAGGGAAGCATTTTATACTTCCTAAGATTCTAATTATGTTACAATGATAAATGTTGGTTAACCGCAATTATCATATAAGAATTATGTGGTAATTGTAACAAACGGTAAATATACTTTATTTAAAGTGTGTAAAATTACTTTGAGTCATCGAAGATGATTAATCAAAACTCAACATTTAAAACTGTTTTATAGTTGTGAATATCTTAAATTAATAACAGTCTTGATAAGTTGAGCTATTTCTTAAATGCTTGCAGCCAACAAACCGGTTATCGTGACTACAGTACGCTGGTTTAAGCTAGTTTTGACGGAGCTGTGACTTTGTACATTATTCGTACGATGTGTTTTTTTCTGAAACACAGAAATATATGATGTAGAATAAAATTGTTATTAAGGAATGTGTTAGTTTGCTTTGAGATTGAGGAATTAATTTTCTATTGCTAACATCTCTATGTTCTCAAAGTACTACAGTCAGTCGAGGTCGTTCGATAAATAAATGTTTAGATTTGAAGTTTTAATGTCGAATGTTGAAGTTTTCATCGATGTTGTAGGTAAAATATATCTTAAAAATTTAATGTCAAGCACGTAGAGATTTTCAGCGAATTACGCAATGTGTTAACATAAAATGTGTTAAATTAATCTCTTGTGAAAAATTCATCGAATGTACAAACATCAAGTGTGTTAACCATAAAGTCACTTATTACAGGTGAAATTGATAAGTTTTAACTCATTGGATTGTTCTTCTACTTTTCCTCATTTCTTATTAGTTGTATTTCTAATATAATAAATTGTTGGATAAATTTTTCCTGTTTCTTTCGACTTTGTTACGGAAATGTAACACTTGACTTAAACTTTTCCTAACTACTCTGGCAATTGTTATATGACTTTTATATTACGTTTATAATTCGCATCCTAATTAGTTGCCTTGATTTTTTGCCAAATGCCATGCGCATAATGTATACTACCCACGTATATTTGATGTTTTCAAGGACATCTAAATAAGACAAAAAGTCTTGCATTAAAGAAATATATATCCATCAAAACACAAGAATTAAAATTGATGTGATTTGACAAAGTCGTCGCTATCAACGAAATTAGTTGATGCTGTAATATTTATTTAAGTAGTACATGAAACGAGTTTTTGGAGAGTGCGTAAACGTAATTAATATTCTCCACGGAGGCAATAATGCAATTAAAAATAGTTAGGAAAAACACGGCAATTTTATGACCTGTGACATAAGTGGTACGTTGCAAGCTGACGATTTCAAGCTTGTCAATTGTTTATACATCATCGGCTGCCTAGAAATCACTCGACGCTTCTTTTACAATCAATTTATCCAAATATTTTCCTTGATTCACAGCTGTATGCAATGTTTGTCATCACGTGTGCGATAGTCATTGATATCGCGTGTCTTCCACGTATGTATTGGTCTTAACAGGCTAATATTTTCACAATGTCGGCAAGTTTCACCATAAAAATGACAGGTCACTAACACAAAACAGTAATAAAGTAAATGGTTTAACCCCTGGAGTATCGTAACATGTTTGTGGATGAAGATCGTCCAGGTTACTAGAGTCCTGACAAGGACTGTTGGTATTGATGTAGACTGACGTTTCGACAACCTTAGCGGTAGTCATCTTCAGAGTCATCTTAACTCTGACTGACGTCAGCTTTTTATAATAAGCATGACAGACGTAGCTATGATTTTTCGAGAAGGCTTTTGAGTTTTCCAATTTTTACAATTATACTTCATCATATAGCGAGGAGGGAAACGTATGAAATTTTTTGCAGACATTTTATCAGTGAATTTTTCACTCTTACTGAATTTTACATTGTTACATAATTTGTAGTACATTGCTATTTGCGATTAAATGTACTGAAACTAACCAATAACAGTTGAGTGACATTTCTTGCTCCATGATGACATGTGCTACGTGCAACTGTTAAATTGTTAATTACTTATATTACTAACTCGTCGCCCGTGCTGACTCATCATCTCTGTTGACGGCACATCACTTCCGCCGAATCAAAAAATAGTTTGCATCATCTATGTAAATTTATTTCATAGATAATTACTTCAGAATATTTAATCAACATTTCGTAATGATTATTTACAGTAATCGAGAACAGTGTTCAAGAGTTGGTCTATGCAGTTTGTCGTCAAAGTTACATTTGTCCTGCATAACATTTGGGAAGTTAATGCCAGGAGGGTTTGCTTCAGTTGTGAAGGTAACTTTTTATTACATGAATCGTTTAAATAGACGGTAATTTATTCATGTGAAAGAAATTTTGTACGTGATTTGGAAATGCTTTATATACGCTTAGGTACATAATAAATTGGACGGCTATCTCTATGCGAACAAAAGAATTTATTTGAATCAGACAAGTGTTCTGTTAAATCGCAAAATTGCTCGAGAAGAGAAGTTCCTTTCTAGATTGAATCATGAAAATATTGTAAGGTAAAAGAAATTTACTATCCAAAATAAATCAAAATTTTATAACATAAGTGTTGAAAGCGAGGCTCAATTTAGACGATACAAATTGCCTAGCTTGTTAAAAGTTATCTTTGTAAAACTATTATAAAAAGTAGATAATCCCTTTTTTCATGAAGCCCATGGATGCTTTTATTCATGATGAGAAAGTTATATTTTAAGAGGAGGCTCTCACTCGTCACGAGAGAATCATAAGAAAGTTACATTGTAAAAGATAACATGTAAAAAACGTATAAACATGTTTAGAGTTGGTTTAAATTCTAAGTCAAAGAGGCAGAAGTATTTTGAACCTTTGCAGTATCCTTGAATGTTCTAGTTTCTTTTATGAGATAAACCAAATATAAAATTCCAAAGAAAAAAACCCCGTATTCAGTCCATGCTTTCCGATACCTTCTTAAGTGTAAGGCACTAGAACGCTGCATGTTAACGTTTCGGTGGAGATTTCAGCCCCTCGCTATCCTACATGGGGATGCAAATACGTAAAAAGCTTCCGCCCATCAGACCCCGAGATCATTTGCGATAGGCCTTTCTCAAGTACGCAGGAAGAGTGTAGAAATACCTTCGCGCATGTGCAGATCCTATCTCGTAAAATATTGAAGTTACGACGAATGTTTGAGAATCACTTATCAGTGTTGAAACAGGTAAGTTTTAATTGATTGGATTGTTCTTCTACTTTTCTTCATTCGTATTTTGTTGTATTCGAAATAAATATTTTAATAACTTTTTTCCTATTTCTTTCAACTTATGTAACGTTACAACGCAACAAATAAAACTATACTTGAAAGGTCAAATTATGCCATGCATATTAGAGTTACATCAATTACTATATGTGTATGCTAAGAAGCAGCCATTAGTGATTTTTGGCCTTCATAAATTTAAGCATGTTCATAATCTTATTCCAAGATTATTTTCCACTCCTAGATGTTTCATGGTTTCATTTCCTATTTTGTTGTTTGAACGTAATATATTATTTCCAAACGTTTAATTCCAAATATTAATGACTCCATCTCTATCAGCGGTTGCGATGCACCATTCATTGCCATCGTCATGCAGAGCAATTGTCGTAACACCTTTTTTGTGAGGAGTTGTTCTGTATGTGAAATAAAATACATTTCTGAGGTAGGGTCGACTTTTGCATTCTTAACTTTTTTTGCGATGTAAGAAAGGTTCAAGTCGTATTAACAACAGCATGCAGAAAATCCTACTCGATACTAAAATTATTTTAAAAATTACTGCCTTTAATTCTGATTTTCGTCGATATGGACGATAGTGTGGCCTAGTCTTTACTCACGAATACACTTTTCAGTATTTTTTCATGCTCTCTATATATATAGGAGTGCATGTCTCAAATTCATCAAAAGTGAAGGAAAGTTAAAACGTAGGGTAATCAAAGCAATTCTTGGGTTGCAAGCTACGTCATAGTCGCCATGTTGGATGATTTTAACAAAGGATTTTCCTTATTTACAATGCTAATTTCATCCACCATCGCCAGCTTTCCATTGTTCTCTTACTCTCAGGAGATAGTTGCAACCCACATATAAGCAAACAGTGACAGCATTTCAATAGAATAATACTGCTGAATTTCATATTAATAATTTTATTGAACTCATTAGCATTCTTTATGCATATGTATTGTATAAAGCAGAAGTGTTCATGCTCTCTAGCATTGCTAAACAATAACTACCTTCACTTGAGAATTAAGAGATACAATGACTTTGATAATTCGCCAATTGGTAATCTGTGAGTACAATAATTAAAGTTTACGCAATGCAGTCGAATGCTTCATTTTGGGTTTCAATAATGACGAGGATGGGACACAGAAGCACGCTGCTGTTTTCAATTACAAACGTGTAAGTAATGTACTTTTACCGAGGCTTTGAAAGCGTTTTGTAGAAGACGTTAATAAAGAATGCTGTAACTTAAAGAAGGTACCGAACATAAAGATAAATTTTAAGTATCGTGAAAGTGTACTGACATTTAAATGTTTGATACGATGATAAGTGTGTATTGAGTATATATGACAGCTGTTGCTGCGTTTTGAGGTTTTTCTTTTACATATCGACTGTTTTTTAGTCTATAGTCTTCATATTTTTGAATAATGAGTGACTCTATACTGAACAGAGTCATTTATATATTCGCTGTGATTATCTAATATATTTGCTGTCATTGTTTGCATATTATCTGAGTAACCCCAACTGTTTCTTTTGCTTCAAGACAAGGTGAGATTTAAATATGGCGTGCGAGTAAAATAATTGTATGAGCCCAAAATTCTGCTACTTAACTAGCTCCCTCGAATTCAACCATAGTCACCCCGAAATCCCGATGTAATTTCCCTGAAATCCAGTTACAATATTAAGCCCTTAATAACTGAGCGCGAGGTCTTTTCGGAGAAATATCGGACTGATGTCTTCTTGTACAGACCGAGCCCGTAGGGCAAGGTTTGTAGAAAAAGACAAAGGTCTGATATTTCTCAGTAAAGACTGAGAAAGTGAGGTTATGAAAAAGATTATTACATGGCATAATTTCACCTGAAACAAAGCTTGCCTTCTTTCTCGTCCTTGTTGTTTTACGGGTTGGCTTTCACTTTTCTAGTTTTCGTCTTTAAAAATTAATCGTTTCAAATTGTATCGTTTGGATGGTTTAACTGTTTTCCAAGTGTTTTCCTTCGTTACACTTGACTTAATTATTTGCTAATTACAGGAAGAATATGAGAGCATATTTTAACACTTTGCACTATCCTTGGATACCAAGTTTAATACGTGAAAGCAGGACCGTCTACAGAACAGTAAATTGGGAAGGGGAGGGAGAGGATACTCATGTATTCAGTTGTTCCCGATTGTAACGTTTTAGTGGTGGCAATTTGCATTAAAACAAGTATTAATTTTTTTTAATTCACTTTGGCTAGAAAGTGCTTTTCACTATTTTGTTTTTTTCATTCCTAAAATATAATCTCCTGCAATATTAAAACTTCAGCTTATTATCAAATTAAAAAGCAACGAAAGGTTTATTGATTGCTATAACACATGCAAATAATGAATAATACGCGACATAATTAATAATTCTTAACTTGCTTGTGGTTATCATTTGTTGTGATTGGCAACTTAAGATACATTCCTAAGTCATTTGTCACTGATCAATTTAGTCAAAATACTGTGTAGCTCTTCAGGAAAATCTCTGAATTGAGACAGTTAAACGACTTTTTCTCCTTCAATGCGAGACAGGTCAAGTGAGTTTGACGTTTTATACAACGTTTTAAAAATGCAACAAAGTTAAATTTGTTTGATGATTCGGCGTCATTCTTTTGTGTCATTTATTAATTCGTTGAGGGCAGAAACGGTCTATTCCTTTGCTTTATTTTTGAATTGCAAAGAATTTAAAAATCGTCTGCCATATTAACATTTTGCACGTGTTATTCTTTGGTAATCAGCATAAAATTAGCAATGATTTAGCTACTGATCTATTTATTTAATGACCAACCATTTATATAAAATTTAAATCAACTTCAATAAAACTCAATATAACTATCTTTTAAACATATAATTAAATAATTTACGAAGGAAAATATGATATTTATAACTCAAAAGAGAAAGGAGAAGATAGTTATGATTCTTATTAAATAATTTTCTGTTGCGCAATAGCTAATATTTTTAAGAAGGGCCAGTATTTTCCCATTGGTCCCAGGGCCCTACTCTGGCTTCGTGACGCACGCCACTGATACGCTGGACATAAGACGGAATATCGGCTACGTTAATTGCGGTGCAAGTAACAAACGTTTTATCTACAAAATAACGATTTTCTTGACACTACCTTTGCAAATAAAAAGTTGTTTGTTCCCTAAAACACTTGAATTGATTTGGTCATTATTGCATTTGGTTCAGTTATTATCCAAGATTTTATCTATTTACTCTTTGTACTTAAAGTAGTCTATTCATGCTTGATTTAGTCCACAATCAAAGAAAAGAAAACGCGGTTATATAAACACATTCTCGTGCATGAAAGGTAACCAAAGTTTCAACTGGTTCTTTTGACTTTACTAAATTTACTTTTCTAATCTAATTGGACGTTCTTTGTTATAATAGTCAGCCTAATCCATAAACTTATCACTGAAAAGGAAAGCTCTTGAAATGATGATCTGCCAACTGACTTGATCATTCCTTTGGTCTTAATATTCTGGTTTACGAGGAAAAAAGGCTTTTAAAAACCTCCTTCAGTGGATGCCCACAAGATGAGCAAGATGAGCAAAAAGTTGCTAGAATATGCAACAACAAAACTTGCCCATATTACTGCTCTCAGAACACGTCAACTTTCAACACATTCACTAATAATCATGAATTCCAGTTTAATATCAATAAAGAAAATTTAATTTAATTAAAAATATCTAGTATGAATGTTGATTTGGCAGAAATTAGTGCAAATGTTATACAGCTTTTAGAATATTATCAAATTATTAAAATATTACGATCACAGTTTCTGCTGAAAACAATTGTACGTCATTCATCTTGTCGCACAACACAATGTTCAGCCATTTCTTGTTTTCACCGCCGTCGGAAGCTCTAAGTAAGAATGGGGGTCTGAAAATTCAAATATCTTAGAGTCTCGAAATATCCTTCCACTGAAAGTAACCGCACCATTAAACTAGCCACCTTTTTAAAATTGAAATAGCCCGGGCAGCTTATTATTTCGAGACTCTACGGTATGTGACTTTCTCCTAGAAGATCTTGGGAAATTGGGGAAAAATTACTGAAGGGGTTGCAGCCTGCCCAAACCCCACAGCTTCCGATGGGCCTGGTTTCAGATGCTTTATTCATTCATGTCTTCGTTTTAGCAGAAATGTGACACAAAACTACTGATACTTAAACCATTTCTATCATAGTCTGCTGTCTTCTTACGCAGTCTTTACACTCTTCATTCTTTCCACAACTCTTTATCGAATACATTATTCCTTTCTTACGATGACACAGATTACAGTCCAGAATGAGTATTGAGATGAGGACAGTCGAGAGAATGAAGGCAACTAACATCAATTTAGGTGATGTGATGTAAACAAATAACCCTTTATTTAGCACCTGGGGTCGACTTTCTGTAGAAATTTTATGGAAATAAGATCATGAAGCAAATCGTAAAACATGATTATTTTGCAATTTTTCTCAAAAGTTGTGCACATCTAATTACACACAGTACGCTTTTTGGTTAAATTTTTCAATCATGATTGAAAATTTCTTACCTGGATCACTGCGTATGCTACTTTTATGGACTTTATTGTTCCAGAGACTGCAAGATATATGTTCTTTAATGACTTCAAACGAGAATGAACCATCGAGGGTTTTTTTTTTGACAATCTTCATTTTCTCTGTTGCTTTGCAACCAGGCAAGCATTGAGTGAATGGGATAAAGAGATATTAAAAGAACCTTTGTATATTCACTGTGCAGATGAAAACGAGGTTGTGGATGCTTGCAATAGTCATTACATGTTCTCACGTTTGGTGGATTGTATTTTACTTTTGTTGTAAATTCTGTTTCGTTAACTGTAAACACAAAAGGAAAAGAGTTTCAAATTTAGATCTCAGTTTAAATTTTAATTAAATACAGAAGTCCTTACTTTCGTTTGAAGATAGAGTCATGTGTAGATTAAAGTTCAAAACTGTTAAGGTCTTTTCCCAGTAACAAGAAGTGTGATTATATACAATATATTTATAAAATTTTGTGTAGTTTTTTAAATCAGGAACGACAATCTCGACTTCTGTCAATGTCATAGGTTGGGGCCAACATAATGAACATGTAGGAACATTATCTTTATCGATGATACATCGTTGAACTTTAACATAATATGGCTCCCTGTCCTTGGGAATGTCAGTGAAGTTTTCATTATAAATTGAGACAACTTCTTGCTTGAGGACTATAAATATAGAAAATGAATATTAACGTTAACTTTTTTTCATCGTGATTCAAATCATTATTTGTTTTTGTACCTGGTTTATTGTTAGTAGTCTTGTTCTCTGTTTTACTATGCACATTCTTGTTCATGAACACCACACATATTATGCATGTATATTTGAAGTTGTTAAAGATACCTAAAAAAGACAAAGATTGTTTTTCAGAAAATTCATCGTTTAATGCTCATTACTGCGCACGAGAACTGCTCATTTTATGAAGCATTTATTTTATCGTGAAAAAATACAAGGGGTGTTGGGTTATGGTGTATTGTGTTTCAGTAAATCACTCAATTTTATTATTAATAAAATGAATTCGTTAATCGTAGAATTATGTCATCAAACAAATTTTTCATCACAAATGAGAGTATCTTTAACTGTATATTTATTAGAAATTCATTCATTATGTTTTTTGAAGACTAAATTGATGCATTTTCTCCATCATTAATAGACATGCATTGCTCACCCATTTCTTCTGTTTTTACAAGCTGATTTCTCAAAGATATCTTGTACAATGTCTCTCTTATAATTCACAACTTAGCTTCGCTTTTATAAATGATGAGTTCTAAAAGTCTTTTATACTCTCTAATTTCAATAGCATGGTTTTATAAACCTCAAAATTTAAGATTTTAACCACAATTGAGATGGAAATTAGTCTTCAAAGACATCCTATATTTTGATAAGTACTATGAATATATTTGAACGGAATGTCATTCATATGTAATCATTATGTAGGTACTCTCATTTAATTGTTTATTTACTATACAATCCATGTTTATTCATCCCTGAACCATTGAAGATGACTCATCAAATCTCTGTAATCAACCAGTTTTATATTGAAGTATTTTATGTCGTTATTAATTTATAAACTGGCACTTGAAATGTTAAGATTTCTTACTCTTAAACCATTGTTTGCTTATCTTAATTAAGTTACTGTAAAATTCAAATCATAAAGAAGAATCTGAAAGCGTGGGCCCATAGCATAATTATTCTCTCATTATTCTCTCATATTCTGCACTATGGTCAGGCTGGCCTATCCTCTCAACTTTTAAAAGTAAATATTTACACTGTTAATCATGTCTCTCAATTAAACGATCCTACGTCGGCACATTATATTTTGACGTAAACATTACTGAATTATCAATTTATCATGTTTTGTGAGTAATATGAAATGGGAAGAATTTACAGGTAGAATGAATTGTCGAAATGCCAAGTTACATAGCTATTTAATTGAGATGTAATTGTTGATTTGCTGCTGGCAAATTCCGGGGTAATTTTTCTTTTGATTGTTTTATATAGCCGGGCAACAAAGATGTGTCAAATTGTTTACGTGGCTATATTTTTAAAATAGGAAGAGCAAACACGCATTGTAGCGCTTGTTGTAGATTTTGATAATTTTGTTTGTCATGGGTTATGGTGTGCTACGGTGGCTATATATCCATTTAACTATTTGCATGTTACAAAATTTTAAAGCTACATTTATATCATTGTTTTCATTACTACAGCTAAAACGATTGGATATGTATTATTTTTTGACAATATTGCATTCTTTGTTCAAAAGATGAACTCCATGACTTGTTTGAGAACATAAAATTATTTGATAGCTATATAGAATTGCAAATTAGTTAGTTACTATAAAAAACAACTCGTCTGTTTTGGAAATAAGTAATAAGTAATTCAGGCAGCTCATTGCTCTCAAAATATTGCAAAGTCAGCTTTGACGCACTTTAATTCCAATGATGTTGTAGGAAATCACATTTCAGAAATCTATTACTGTGTATATAGCCTGTATGGAAGAGTTTAAAGTGACTGCACAATATTGCAAAGTCAGATTTGAATTGAGGCAATTGCATGAGTTCCAATGACGTTTTAGGAAATTACATTTTTTATAAAACAAAGACTTTATTGTGGTCACGAACTTTAATTTTGCTGTGATTAACATATTTGTCATGGTGAACGACAATTTAAGTAGTTCTTAAGAACTGTAGAAAACTGAAATGAAGATAGTTATAAAATTATGCTGCAGTTTGCCGAAATGCATCGTGTCATTTTAATTTTATGTAATATCCTCATTTTGGTGTTCAACTGTTCTTTGAAGAACTACTCAATTGTCAATCACCACGACAAATACGCTAATCAAAGCAAGAATTAAAATATTTTCTTAAATTGAAGACAAAAGACAGCAAAGCAAAGCATTTGAGCTCTTGCAAACGACAAAGTGACAATCTATTAACTGTTAAGCGGTAGCCTAGCCATCTCAAGAGTTGCATGGTCATGCTCTGTAAGTTTTTTAACACGATATCATTGTTGGTTTCCTAATGGATATTGTTTTTACAGTAAGCAAACACCAAAATACGTACATAGCTGTGAAGGACTTACTGCGGTTAACCTGTTATAAACGCGACCCAAAAGTTAACGTCAGTAAGTCAATGTCGTTAATTCTTTCATGCTATCTTTTGGGTCTTGCTCTGTCAGTTGTTCAGTGTTGATTTATTTACAACTTATTCAATATATACAATCAAATACTACATATTAGCATCGTTTTGTAATATGATAATTAGTTATTATATTATCGATGTACGCCGGTGGCCATTATTACATAAATAATATTCCGGTTATACATCTTCATATTTTTCCATTGTTAAAGCGATTGTTTCTGTTTGTATGCAGCGGTTAAAAATATTAACTTCTTGCACAACTCTCTTTCGTAGTTTAAGGGATTTTTTTGAGACCGAAAGCAAACTGAGACTGCAGGATATTTTACTCATATATAAATCGTGTATAATATTAAACAATCACTGTCGGGCACCGTAAGATATTATTTACCACTATGTGGTTAAGCTTGTGCATACGACCTGGTTTTCATGTCTGTTCATAAGCATTTGATATTCATTTTGTCGTTTGCCGAAGAATAGACTGAGTAGTCTCCTTTGACCGCTTGCTGTCAGAACTCAGTCTCCTTTGACCGCTTGCTGTGAGTGGTCTCCTTTTGACCGCTTGCTGTCAAAAGTCTCCTTTTGACGGCTTGCTGTTAGAAGAAGTTTTGTATTTTACTAAAGTAAAGTTTTCCATGTAACTAATCAGATCTACACATAAATACTCGATGGTTTTTCCCTTTTTAATGTTTCGATATCATTGCTTATTTTAGTTATTTATTGCAGTATGTCTTTGATATGCATTGACCTGTACATTACAGACAATGAAAATAATATATTCGCCCACGACTGCTGTCATGCTGGTTTATTATAAGGACACATATTGGTTGCTTTGTGTTTCGTGAGCGACTATGGTATTCCCATTCAGTAATTCAAACCATATTAGGAGCTAAATTTGTCTCTGGCATTATAGAAATGCTTTGAAAAGATAGTTTAGCTTTACTCGTAAAATATTTTAAATTTTGAATGTTTTCGTCCAAGATTTCGTGTGAACGATCGGCACCAACTTTACCATAAAGCCTAGTTCACATATAGTTGTAATTGTTGTAATTCGATCCGTGATGAACGTTTGCAGCAATTACAACTATAAGTAAACGCGCGTTGTCATTGTTGTAATTGTTGTAATTTAATCGCAGACAAATCGGGAGCTGTTCTAGAAGTTGAACTTGTCCAACTCTTACAACATTTACAACATAAGAAATTTACACGTGAACGATTATCGGCGATGGCAGTTCATCTTTACTTTCGAATTCTTGTACGATAAATGATCAAATTTGATACTAGTAAGTATCACCTGAATTACAACAACTACAACTATTTATGAATAGGTAGTGTTGTAAATCATTTGTATTGTATAAAATCAGTTGGAATCCGAATGTATAAAATCAGTTGAAATGTATGAAATCAGTTGGAATGTATCAAATCAGTTGGAGTGTATCGAATCAGTTGGAATGTATCAAATCAGTTGGAAGGTATCGCTGATGAAATTACAGCAATTACAATTGTATGCGAAGTACGTTTAAACAGGCGATGACGAAATTGTCTGTACTGACTCATGCTCTAACTGCACCTATGCGCGTTTAATGTCATATGCTATATCTTGCCAAAAGTTTTTTGCTCGAATTTGTACTCACAAAGGCAAGTGGGCTAAACAGACAAGTATTTTAGTAGAATCGTCAAATTTTACTCTAAATCAAGACAAATTTGTCGTTTTATCTTCCCGAGATAATCTTTTGCTGTAGATGCAAATTTTGTATTGTTATGTGTATGTATACTTTCGTATTTACTTATCTGATGAGATATTGTGTAAATGTGTACGTAATATTAGTCATTGAAAATAAAGACTTTATAACACTTTGTAAAATAGGTATTTTTATACAATACGTACATTGTTAGTCACGCACTCATTACAGCAAATGACGTTTTTTGCGTCATTGTTTCAATATCTCTTTGTATAGAGAGTTTTTGTAATAACGTCATCCTTGTTTGAACGGCGGAAAACGTCTATGTATGTTAAAGTTCCAAATATTTTTTGCCGACAAAATTTGTTCTTAAATCATAAGCGGACTCAGCGTTCGGCAAAATAAAGTTATATAGCTCAATTCGATTTTATATTCGAAAAATACGTTCAAAAACACTATTGGTTCGGAATTTCTAATGAATATAAGTTTACCAATGCACTTGCATCTAAAATGTTTGTAAACTTGTAAATATATTGTAAAAGGAGCTGCAGTAATTTATTTTTTGACGTACCCCGGTCCGGCACTGTTTTTATTAATAGCAAGCTAACTTGATTAGATCTTATGACGCATATTGGCTTATGTTAGAGTTACTGCAAATTAATTATCATTCAGTATTGCATGAGATCAGAGCTCCGCCCTACTGTGAGATAATTTTTGTCAGTTTTTTTTTGTAAGATTTTAAATTCATGTGCTCCATTTTTATTGTTTTAAAAAAGTATTCGCTGAAGAAATCATTACATTTACCAATATATAAACTGCCGATAATTTTACAACAACTGTAGTTCTGACTCACCCATTGCTTTTCTTTTTCCAATATGAGCGAGCGAACGATTTCTCACAATAATTTCGATTTTCTTTGGTTTGCTATTTTTTGACAGTCTTCAGCTGTTCTTGTATGTGCAGCCGAGTACTAAGTATGAATGAATCTCCAAGCGTCGGTTCTATTTATTTGCTCTACTTTTTGCTACCTGGAATCTTCCAGTTTGTTCGAAAGGAGTGAAAGTTCTTCCTTGCCTCCGAAATGCGCTGTCAGAATAAGGATGATGTGTTTTTGTGTGCTAACCGCAAATCAGTTTCGACGGAAATTTTCATAATGTTTTTGAAAGCATTCAGTCCAAAACATAAAATCTTTTCGAAAAACATGTGTGGCTACCTGATTTTTTTCATTACAGAAATACATTATTCACTCAAGCTTCATTCACAGTATGTTCATGTAATTTGTTACATTTTTGTTTTCTAAATAGAGTTTGGTGGTATAGTGGTTAGTGGTGTATAGTACCTGGTGTTATTACTATGGGGAAAGGCATTGTGTCTATATAAAGAAATCTGTCTGTGCAAATATCTTTATTTTATTTTAAAACCCTTTCATTCTTAACTTGTAATCATGTGAAAATGCCGTGGCAAGTCAAGTAAAATTTACCATTAGCTCTAAATAGTCTTTTAAAAGACGGTTCGTTTTGTTGTAATCATACATTATTTTATGATGTAGCTACTAATCTGTTTTTCATTGGATTCGATAATTATGTTAAAATCTTGGAGTACATATGTTTGGTGTACAACATTATATCATACATTATCATACATGATATGCGCTAGGCAAGTTAATTGAGGTTATCTTTAGTCACGTTTTAGTTAGTATTGTGACGTTAACTAAACAATGAAAATGGTTGCTTATGTGCATGTAATTATTTATCATAACAGTTCGGTTTCGCATTGTGGTTTTACTATTGTGGTCAGTTTCGAATTATTTTTTGCTAAGTAACGTGAATGTGAACTGAAAACTAGAATTTTTCATGCACAATATCGAAAATGTGATTGTTAAATGAAAGCGATTTAGCTTGATGTTTTGCCAATAAGTTTGAAGAATTCTCCATGCAAACAATCGAGGTTCAAAACATTTTACTTAAATCTTTAACTAACTTTGGAGTAATTCCTCAGTCAATGATACCTGAAACTAAATTACTTTTTAATGGAAATTTAGGGGGTGTAATATGACGGGGGCGGATTTAGGGTGATGGGCGAAGCGGCGGCGCGCGCTTCCCCTTTGCCGGAAAAATACCCAACAAAGAAATATATGATGTAGAATAAAATTGTTATTAAGGAATGTGTTAGTTTGCTTTGAGATTGAGGAAGTAATTTTCTATTGCTAACATCTCTATGTTCTCAAAGTACTACAGTCATATCGTTCGGTGCATAAATGTTTAGATTTGAAGTTTTAATGTCAATTTAATTTCATCGATGTTGTAGGTAAAATAGATCTTAAAAATTTAATGTCAAGCACGTAGAGATTTTCAGCGAATTACGCAATGTGTTAAAATAAAATGTGTTAAATTAATCTCTTGTGAAAAATTCATCGAATGTACAAACATCAAGTGTGTTAACCATAAAGTCACTTATTACAGGTGAAATTGATAAGTTTTAACTTATTGGATTGTTCTTCTACTTTTCCTCATTTCTTATTAGTTATATTTCTAAATAAATTGTTTGATAAATTTTTTCCTGTTTCTTTCGACTTTGTTACGGAAATGTGACACTTGACTTAAACTTTTCCTAACTACTCTGGCAATTGTTATATAACTTTCGTATTACGTATATAATGCGCATTCTAATTAGTTGCCTTGATATTTTGCCAAATGCCATGCGCATAATGTATACTACCCACGTATATTTGATGTTTTCAAGGACATCTAAATAAGACAAAAAGTCTTGCATTAAAGAAATATATATCCATCAAAACACAAGAATTAAAATTGATGTCATTTGACAAAGTCGTCGCTATCAACGAAATTAGTTGATGCTGTAGTTCTCAATATAAATATTAGAGCCCAACAAATAATTTTAAACATAGTCATAAACAATTTGGTTTTATGAAATTTATTAAAAGAGTGACGTTTCGTCTTTACTCAAGACATCTTCAGACTAATTAGGTGTCTTGAGTAAAATGTGTCTTGACTAATTAGGTGTCTTCAGACTAACTAGATGTCTTGAGTAAAGACGAAACGTCACTCTTTAATAACTTTCATAAAACCAAATTGTTTATGACTATGTTTAAAATTATTTGTTGGACTCTAATATTTATATTGAGAATCCGTTTCCTGCCTGGCACTTCATTGGCAACAATATTGATGCTGTAGTATTTATTTAAGTAGTACATTAAACGAGTTTTTGGAGAGTGCGTACGTAATTAATATTCTCCACGGAGGCAATAATGCAATTAAAATAAGTTAGGAAAACACGGCAATTTTATGACCTGTAAGTGGTACGTTGCAAGCTGACGATTTCAAGCTTGTCAATTGTTTATACATCATCAGCTGCCTAGAAATCACTTAACGCTTCTTTTAGAATTGATTTATCCAAATATTTACCTCGATTCACAGCTGTAGGCAATGTTTGTCATCACGTGTGCGATAGTCATTGATATCGCGTGTCTTCGACGTATGTATTGGTCTTAACAGGCTAATATTTTCACAATGTCGGCAAGTTTCACCAAAAAAATGACAGTTCACTAACACAAAACAGTAATAAAGTGAATGGTTGAACCCTGGGAGTATCGTAACATGTTTGTGGATGAAGATCGTCCAGGTTAGTAGAGTCCTGAGAAGGACTGTTGGTATTGATGTAGACTGACGATTCGACAACCTTGGCGGTACTCATCTTCAGAGTCAACTTAACTCTGACTGACGTCAGCTTTTTATAATAAGCATGACAGACGTAGCTATGATTTTTCAACACGGCCATCGCGAAAGTAATGGTAAGGGTGATTACTGTCGACGTTTCGTCTTCAACTTCAGCCGTTTTAAATTTAGAGCTAAGCTGCTAAGCCACGAGAAGGCTTTTGAGTTTTCCAATTTCTACAATTATACTTCATCATATAGCGAGGAGGGAAACGTATGAAATTTTTTGCAGACATTTTATCAGAGAATTTTTCACTCTTACTGAATTTTACGTTGTTGTTACATAATTTGTAGTACATTGCTATTTGCGACTAAATGTACTGAAACTAACCAATAACAGTTGAGTGTCATTTCTTGCTCCATGACGACATGTGCTACGTGCAACTGTTAAATTGTTAATTACTTATATTACTAACTTGTCGCCCGTGCTGACTCATCATCTCTGCTTCCTATGGCACATCACTTCCACCGAATCAAAAAATAATTTGCATCATCTATGTAAATTTATTTCATAGATAATTACTTCAGAATATTTAATCAACATTTCGTAATGATTATTTACAGTATCGAGAACAGTGTTCAAGAGTTGGTCTATGCAGTTTGTCGTCAAAGTTACATTTGTGCTGCATAACATTTGGGATGTTAATGACAGGAGGGTTTGCTTCAGTTGTGAAGGTAACTTTTTATTACATACATCCTTTAAATAGACGGTAAATTATTCATGTGAAAGAAATTTTGTACGTGATTTGAAAATGCTTTATATACGCTTAGGTACATAATAAATTGGACGGCTATCTCTATGCGATCAAAAGAATTTATTTGAATCAGACAAGTGTTCTGTTAAATCACAAAATTGCTCGAGAAGAGAAGTTCCTTTCTAGATTGAATCATGAAAATATTGTAAGGTAAAAAGAAATTTACTATCCAAGTAAATCAAAATTTTATAACATAAGGGTTGAAAGCGAGGCTCAATTTAAACGATACAAATTGCCTAGCTTGTTAAAAATTATCTTTGTAAAAACTATTATAAAAAAGTAGATAATCCCTTTTTTTCATGAAGCCCATGGATGCTTTTATTCATGATGAGAAAGTTATATTTAAGAGGAGGCTCTCGCTCGTCACGAGAGAGTCATAAGAAAGTTACATTGTAAAAGATAACATGTAAAAAACGTATAAACATGTTTAGAGTTGGTTTAAATTCTAAGTCAAAGAGGCAGAAGTATTTTGAACCTTTGCAGTATCCTTGAATGTTCTAGTTTGTTTTATGAGATAAACCAAATATAAAATTCCAAAGAAAAAAACCCCGTATTCAGTCCATGCTTTCCGATACCTTCTTAAGCGTAAGGCACTAGAACGCTGCATGTTAACGTTTCGGTGGAGATTTCAGCCCCTCGCTATCCTACATGGGGATGCAAATACGTAAAAAGCTTCCGCCCATCAGACCCCGAGATCATTTGCGATAGGCTTTTCTCAAGTACGCAGGAAGAGTGTAGAAATACCTTCGCGCATATGCAGATCCTATCTCGTAAAATATTGAAGTTACGACGAATGTTTGAGAATCACTTATCAGTGTTGAAACAGGTAAGTTTTAATTGATTGGATTGTTCTTCTACTTTTTCTTCATTCGTTTTTTGTTGTATTCGAAATAAATATTTTAATAACTTTTTTCCTATTTCTTTCAACTTATGTAACGTTACAACGCAACAAATAAAACTATACTTGAAAGGTCAAATTATGCCATGCATATTAGAGTTACATCAATTACTATATGTGTATGCTAAGAAGCAGCCTTTAGTGATTTTTAGCCTTCATAAATTTAAGCATGTTCATAATGTTATTCGGAGGTTATTTTCCACTCCTAGATGTTTCTTGGTTTCATTTCAGATTTTGTTGTTTGAACGAAATATCTTATTTCCAAACGTTTAATTCCAAATATTGATGACTCCATCTCTATCAGCGGTTGCGATGCACCATTCATTGCTATCGTCATGCAGAGCAATTGTCGTAACACCTTTTATGTGAGGAGTTGTTCTGTATGTGAAATAAAATACATTTCTGAGGTAGGGTCGACTTTTGCATTCTTTAATATTAATATTGATAAGTTTATTAACTTTATTTTGCGATGTAAGAAAGGATCAAGTCGTATTAACAACAGCATGCAGAAAATCCTACTCGATACTAAAATTATTTTTAAAAATTACTGCCTTTAAGCCTGGGCCACACTATCGTCTATATTGACGAAAACGAAAACGAAACAAAATTCGTGCACGAAATGCATGCCAGACACGACGAAAAATTACAAGCATGTTTGCAAAGTCAAAACTTTTGGCCAATAAGCAAGCGGCATTTTGACGGATTAGAAAAATGGCGATCTCTAAAGAAAAGATTACTTCTTCTTAAGAAAAAGTTACTGCTTTTAAAGTTGAAAACAAGCAACAGCAAACGTCGATACTGGATTCATCCAATTAATAAACGACGTGATCGTCTTGGACTATTTAACATCTTGATTAAAGAATTACGAGAGCCTAACAATGAAAATGACACATAAAATACTTGCGAATGACGACGACAAATTTTGACTACATTTTGGATTTAATTAGACCTCACATCACTAAAGTTGGCACACATCTTAGAAAGTCTATTAGACCTGATTTATCAAAACCTCTTGCCACTCCGCCATGTTTGAGTACAAAGTCTGATATTATTAGCCAATAGTATGCGTTTTCGTGAACGAAAAAGGTCAAAAGTTCAACTCTTCTGATATGCACGAAAACGAAATTTTCGTCGAGTTTTCGTTCAAAATTTTCGTTGCGGCAGTTTTCGTTCTGATTTTCGTCGATATGGACGATAGTGTGGCCTAGGCTTTACTCACCAATACACTTTTCAGTATTTTTTCATGCTCTCTCTATATATATAGGAGTGCATGTCTCAAATTCATCGAAAGTGAAGGAAAGTTAAAACGTAGGGTAATCAAAGCAATTCTTGGGTAGCAAGCTACGTCATACTCGCCATGTTGGATGATTTTAACAAAGGATTTTCCTTATTTACAATGCTAATTTCATCCAACATCGCCAGCATTCCATTGTTCTCTTACTCTCAGGAGGATGGTTGCAACCCATCAATAAGCAAACAGTGACAGCATTTCAATAGAATAATACTGCTGAATTTCATATTAATAACTCTATTGAACTCATTAACAATTCTTTATGCATATGTATTGTATAAAGCAGAAGTGTTCATGCTCTCTAGCATTGCTAAACAATAACTACCTTCACTTGAGAATTAAGAGATACAATGACTTTGATAATTCGCCAATTGGTAATCTGTGAGTACAATAATTAAAGTTTACGCCATGCAGTCGAATACTTCATTTTGGGTTTCAATAATGACGAGGATGGGACACAGAAGCACGCTGCTGTTTTCAATTACAAACGTGTAAGTAATGTACTTTTACCGAGGCTTTGAAAGCGTTTTGTAGAAGAGGTTAATAAAGAATGCTGTAACTTAAAGACGGTACCGAATATAAAGATAAATTTTAAGTATCGTGAAAGTGTACTGACATTTAAATGTTTGATACGATGATAAGTGTGTATTGAGTATATATGACAGCTGTTGCTGCGCTTTGAGGTTTTTCTTTTACATATCGACTGTTTTTTAGTCTATAGTCGTCATATTTTTGAATAATGAGTGACTCTATACTGAACAGAGTCATTTATATATTCGCTGTGATTATCTAATATATTTGCTGCCATTGTTTGCATATTTTTTTGGGTAACTCCAACTGTTTCCTTTGCTTCAAGACAAGGTGAGATTTAAATAGGGCGTGCGAGTACTTAAAGATAATTGTATGAGCCCAAAATTCTGCTACTTAACTAGCTCCCTCGAATTCAACCATAGTCACCCCGAAATCCCGATGTAATTTCCCTGAAATCCAGTTACAATACTAAGCCCTTAATAACCGAGCTTGAGGTCTTTATGGAGAAATATCGGACTGATGTCTTCTAGTACAGACCGAGCCCGTAGGGAGGTTTATAGAAAAGACAAAGGTCTTATATTCACGTCCTTGCTGTTTTTACGGGTTGGCTTTCACTTTTCTAGTTTTCGTCCATAAAAAATTAATCGTTTCAAATTGTATCGTCTGGATAGTTTAACTGTTCCAAGTGTTTTTCCTTCGAATCACATTCGTAAGTAGTTTTTTGTTTCGTTTATTTTGCGTTTTGCTCTGCTTTACGAAGTTTGTTCACATTTGACAGTAAAACTATGTGTTTCGGACCATGGTCGATTACGGGAAAATAATGGACTGGCAAAAATGTTTCTCAGCCAATCAAAGCGCGCCATGTTTCCGGAAGTGACGCTTGCCATATAATAATCAATTAAAGTCTTCTATTAGTCCAGTCAATCTACGACCAAAAACACTCTAACCTTGAACATATTTCCACAAAAGAAATTCCAACTGATTTTGGTATATTTGATATCCCTTTGCAACATATTGAAAGTCCCACAAAATCCTAGCACGGCAACATCGTGTAAATTACGTTTTATTTGAGGCATTTGGATTGAAAATCTGAGCGACATGGAAACGAGGCTCAAAATTAATGTTTTAGATTTTATCCTTTTAGAACACTTAGTAAAGCACAAATATAAATATTATAGATTAAAACAAGTGGATAATGATATTTTGTAAATTAATTAATATTTTGTCCTTTATTTACGTCAAAATGCTGATCTTGCTGTTTTGGGTACTAATTTTCGCTGACTTGGTAGTTTTAGACAAACGCGTGTTTGAAGTACGTTTGTTTACGTATATTTTGCACGTGTTTAGATGGATATTTATTATATTTAATGTGACTTCCCTTTCAATACTTCAAATTGAAGCTTTGGCTCATTATTGGCATCAAAATGTGACGTTTCTTTGTTCTCCTCAAGGTAAGCAAAATAGATAACTTGAAGACAATGAGTTTATGAATGTATTATTTAATTGCTATTACATTTTACAATTTACAAAATACAATGTTTACATTTATAATTACCAAATACAATGTTTGCATTATAATACCGCGTTCAAAGCCATAGATACATTAGGGCTGTAAAATATCGCATAAACCAGTAAATAAAACCAGGCTTTTTTGTGTTGTCGAACACTATTTTGCTTGTGAATCATTATAGGATGGATCAAATTCTGCGTCAGTACTGTGCAATATGTAAAGAATCAATTGTGAACAAAGGGTGGCTCTAACATCTAAAGGAATAGATGGTATAAACCGAGCTAGTAAAGAAAGAGGCGATACAGTTGACGTCCGTAAAGGTGACAGCGTTCACATAGCATGTAGGAAACGATACACAAATCCATCATATATTTCTAAATCGCTACGTCAGAAGGAAGAGCGTCATCCCGTACCAAGAACCCTTCGCTCACAAAGTTCAGTTCAGTTCGATTTCAGAAGAGATTGCTTGTTTTGCGGAAATGAAATTAATCAAGAACAAGAGCGCAAAAGGGGGCGTGTTGTTTGCACTGTTAGGACTATGGACATTCAAGACACTATCTTGAACGCTTGCAAAGTGAGATGCGATGACTGGGCCAAGTCCGTAAAATCAAGGATCCAAAGTGTGCATGACCTACCGGCAGCTGACGCAATGTATCATCATCTATGCAGTACAAACTTCAGGACAAAATGAGAATTCCAGCACCATTTAATGACCAATCACCGCTCAAAAGCGCAAATCAGGACGACCAATCAACAACACTGCCAACGATGCATTTTAAAGGTAGCTCAATATTTAGAAAACATTGATGACCAAGTTACTGTATTAGATTTAATAAAAGATGGAGGAGTATTTGGCGGAGTCCGCGACTGATAGTACCACATATAGCAACCGCTACATGAAAGAAAAGATTCTAGAGCACTTTGGGGATAATGTGATTATCACAAATCAACCAGGCATGCCAAGTATTGTGACATTCAGAAGAACTGCTACGTCTATACTAGAGGAATTCCACATGCAGCAGAAAGAAAATTCCAATCCTGAAGATGAGAAACTGAATGTTATAAGAGCAGCAGCAAAACTTTTACGTAGTGACATAAAATGTATTGAAACACCAAGCGACATATATCCGTTAATCGACAGTGACATTGACAAAAATCTTGAATTCTTACCCCCAACACTTCAGCTTCTTCTTAATCAACTGTTTTCAGGAAAAGACACTTCTCGGAAAGTAGCTTTTGTTGGTCAAGAGATTATGC